TTTGATTGACACAGTGACTCCAGAGAATAGCGAAAAGCAGTCCAAGTCCATCATTTGATTAAAGGAGAGGAGAGACTGCGATTGATCGCACCGTCGCATAGATCAATTTTTTTGATTATTATATCAAATATATATATATATATATATATATATATATATATATATATATATATATATATATATATATATATATATATATATATATATATATATATATATATATATATATATATATATATATATATATATATAATTTAATATTGTCCAATAAAAAAACCCGACTAGTTAGTTTGGTTTTTTTCATTCAGTATACTCCGCTTTATGAGATGAGATGTGGTAATTTGTTTTCATTTACTTTTTGCTATTTAAAGATTTCGCAAAATCCAGACCGACTAGATTCAAATTCATATAATAGTCGGTTCCCTATCAAACTTCAACAACTAAATTTGCCGACAAGTGGGATATATATCTTTTTTAGTAAGAAAAGACTTTCATTTCATAATTATTCAATGCAACTTCAAGATTTTTTTGTAACGTTTTTTAATTGCACATTAATTTAGTGTTCTTTTAGGTACATGAAGACTGAATAGAAATGAGCTTAGGCAGGTATTTCATGTCTTAAAAATGAAAATAAATTGACATAAATTATTTTTAAAATTTAAGTGTACTCTGAAGAGGAGACGAAAGGCTAATATTTACAATGTAGTTTCTGTATAATATATATTTTGATATTTTATTTATTTTTTATTTCTGTATATTGACATAAATATATAAGCAATAGTTTTCGACAGATATCATTGATAACGCAAATAAAAGCACAGAAAATTTTTAAAAATTCTAATATCAACATTTCGCTTCGTCTTGCCAAATCCTGCGTTTCTAATTTATTCGTAGAGCTCGCAAGCGAGCTAGAGCGTTATTAAGTCTGAACCTAGAACTACATAAATCAAACATTTCATTAGTTAATCTCCATAAGTAGGGTTGCAAATCTAAAGAATGAAAACTGTTATAAATTACTTCTCGCGCCCCCCGCTAAGATGATACAAAATTGAGAAGCGTCCGGAAAACAGGGGTGAACGAAAAATTTAATCAACTTAGTAGGCGAAATTTTGTAATTAATTAGAATTTCTAATTAGATATAAAAACCGTTGAAAGTCGCGAAATGTAATCAAATGGGGTTTGCTTCGTTGTTTCGAAACATAAAAGCGGTCAATAACGTTTATGATATTTTCCAACAATAGTAAATTTTTATTTATTTTATGAATTTAAAATTTATTTTCCAAACGATGACTCTTTATTTTTTTCAAATTTTACGTAAAAAATAAATCCAGAATCTGTTCAGATTTCTATTAAATTCAAAAAAAATATCAATATTGTTTTTAAAAAAAAAAAAATTAAAAAATAGGGCCAGTATCTTACTGTGGCATTAAATTTTCAAAAAGCATAGATTTAGTAAAAAAATCAGGTTTTGGGTAGACATTTTTTAGAAAATCCGTTTATTGGCTTTTATAAATGGTCTCGCCAATTTTCGATTTGCCTTTTTACATGGCATAATCTAATTATACTAAATCATGCAAAATTCATAGCCTAAAAAAATAAGGGCTTCGATGTTTGAAATTCAAACTAATTAAATAAAATTTATTTGTCTATTTATTTTTTCCTTGTTGGAATTTGGTAGGTAAACGGCGATCAATTAAACCGCCTTTTTGTTTATCTCTTACTAACATATTTTATGTTAAACATAATCTAAGGTAAGTTCACAATGTGCTGCAGTTATATGATTCACTTGCTTTTTTAGTGTGCTCCTTTATGTAATTAATTTTTGTTGTTGTGAAATTTTTCACAACAACAACTATTATTACATATAAAAATCAGCAAATTTTGTATTATTAAATTTAATTTTTAGTTTTTCAATATCGTTATATTAATGGACAATTTGCCCTTATAATTGTTTCAAAGGGATAAATTTTAAACAATTTTTTAATACGACTGTGTATTCAACTGTTTGAATACAATGCGTATATAGAATGCCCAATTTTTCAATAGTATTGAAATATTGAATAAAAATATATACAAAAGTTGGAGATTTCAAAATGAGTGCCCTTGGGATTCACTTGTTTGGTCGAAAAATGAAAACAGTGTGTTCCAATTTTAAATTTCTACTACCGAAATTGAAATTTTAAATAGAAATACTCCATATTTTTATTTATTTTTAAATTCGTAATTTTATCAATTTTGAGTTAAATTCGTACGAAATGGGTTGAGCTTAGCGAAAATGATGCTTATTAGTTAATAAAATAATCTTTTACTGGTATTCAAAATAATTAATCATATTTGATATGATAATTTAATTTTGGTGACTTCAGGACCTCATCAACACAAGTTTTATCGCATTTAATCGATGCAGTATATTTGAGAATTATTTAGACGATTCCAATGAAGAAACGGCCACCCTGTATATCGATTAATCAATTGCTTTATAAAAAAAAACATCGGTCGGTAGTGACGAAATTATTTTGACCAGGAAATATCACTAACAAAGTCATACCCAAGCAGGCATAGTTTAAGACACTAATTATTATAAATTTAAAAGGGAATATATCAAAAGAAATAATATTTTAAGCAAATACAAAAACAAACCAAACAAAATGCAGAAATTAAAGTTCATAGTGGAAAATCAACAATGTGCATATAGTGTAGAAATTCTAACAATTAATAAAGTTCTACGAATCGAAAGTTTCCAATGTGTCCGACCTGGAATGTCATATTTTTAACCTAATTTTCGCTTGAAACGCAGAATGTGTTAAAGTGTTTAAAAATAGGTCTTCGGTAACTTGGATTAAGTGCCAAAACATTGATACGTCATACCATCGTTCAGCCAAATCTGGAATTGTGAATCAATTTGATGAGATTTTTGATAAATAAATTATTTCGTACAATATGATAATATGCAATGTTCCTCTGTCTTACAGATAATTTTAATAATTTTCTTCTATCTATTTTTGCATTTTTTGTTTTTGCTATTGTGGAAATGTGGTGTTTTAAAAAGCATCATCAGGTCTCGCCTCGCAGGATGTTTTCAAAGGAATATCGACTTTTAAAAATTTAGTTCATTTTTAACTATTTATAGCATGGCAAAATTTTGTCTCACAATAATACTACATATTTAGCGCAACTTCTGATATTAAGTTCAAAACAGATACAAAGAAAAATTAAAGTTGGCAATTTTAAATCATTTTAAGAATAACCTTCAAAAATTTGTCATTCTTTTGAAGTTGTCTTTTGTTTTAATTATTTAAATAAAATGAAATAGTTTTCTGATAAATAAGTGTAATACTGTAATGAAGTTGATGGATTACATATTAGCACAAAGAATCTTACAATGATTATACTTAATTTTTTGCATAAGTTAAATTACCCCCATAACGGTATTTTTTTTGTTAAAAACTTACGTTGTAACTGATATCTTACTTAATTTTTTGCATAAATATGGGGGTAATGATGTTTTTTTGGTGAAAAACTTAATTATGTAAGTGGTTAGTATAAGTCATATATTTCTTATTTTTAGATATTAAGAGGTTTACATTTTAAAGGATTAAAAATTATTTTTGTCTTATGACAATCAAATAGTGCCAACAAATAAATAGTTATTATGATTGTGAAATTTGTAACCATTTTTCAAACGAAATGTGGTTTCGAAAGGTTAAAATGACCTATACCATTTTTAAAATTAACTGCTGACTTTATATGTGACTTAAAATGACTCTAAACATCAAGAAAAAACTTTTATTTTCTTTTTATATTAAATGAATATTAATTAAATTAATTAATTATTAATTTATTAATATTAATTAATTAATAATTAATTAAATAATTCGATTAATTTTAGTTTCTATAAAAAAAAAATCGCGATCATTTGGCAAAAAAGAATGACTGGTTACTGGTAATTTCGCGAATGTGGACGCAATTTCCTGTGATCCTCTTGAGGCCATTGTTTCATCCTATGCATGCATGCATACATACATTTTAGCATTTTCATTGTGGAAATTATGGAAACCCGAATTGTACATACATGTTGCGCTTATAATAAGGTACCGAAACAGAAAGTGCCTCGTGTAGATCAAATGAGAATCCGTAATATTCACTCGGGTTATCTTTTGCTTTTTGTATACCAATTGTTAAAATTTTCCAAGCCTGTTCGGCACTGTTAAGATGTAAATCACGAATTCCCATAAGATAAAACTTCTTGGCTTCATTACTGGATACTTCAATTTCTAGATTCAACCAATCACACTGTCGGCTACGTGTATTATTTTCTTCCCATCTAAGTCCTGACTGTGTGATGTGATTTCACTAGAAAACTGAGAACATGTTCTCTTACAACATTAAGCTTATCTTCATCTGTTTTTCTAGATCAAACTACCTTTTTGACACGACCATTGAAAATATAAAAAAAATGCAAACAGATACTTCCGAATTCCGTACATTTAGATGAAACTTAAAACTACATTTTCTCATATAACTTCCAAAAGTTTTGGGTCGTCTTTGTTTTATTGATTGTTTTCGAATCCATCATACATTTTTTGGAACAAAGGCACTCTTTAGTTTCAAAAACTACCACCAATACCTTTGAAGTAGGTATTTTGACCAAGTTTGGCGTCGTATATTTTTTTGTCAACTTTTTAGAGGTATCGCCGAGATTTGTAAATATGTTATACAAATTATTGCAATTATTCTTACTTTCATATTAACGAGTGTGATGCGCTCTGATTATCTTGTTTGGAAATTAATTTTATGAGCGGATTGCTTTAGCCATCCTAGATAGCAGACGGATAATATGTGGAATAACGGATATCGACACGCACAAAATAGGTGAATATCCATACAAACGTTTTAAGATATTAATCAGAATTTGTATTATTATCTACGTAGTTGCACGCGGCTTTTGTTTGTTTGTTGTTGATGCCGGTTCTTAAAATGTCAATCGAAATGACGAAAAGGTTATCAAAGCTGACAGCTTATTTCCATTGAATATTATACTTTAAAAAATGACGAATTTGGAAAAGCCGCCCCTAACCGCCGATGAAAAATACCAGTTAGCCTTGCAAACGGAACAGGAACTAGCGAGATGTTCTCGAACCTACACCATTTTGGAAAGAAACAGAAACGAATTCTTACAAGCAGGAGCGGGCGGGAAACTCGCAAAGCACAAGAAAGTACTGAACATATTCAAAAAGGAACAGAGAAACATACTGACCGATTTTGCTGTAGCTTCTTCAGACTCTAGAGTAAAAGAGGACGAAAAACGTTCCACGAAATTGAGTTTTTTGTTAAAAGAGTACGACGATTTCGATAATACGATCAAGAACCACCACCGAGAGGTGCAAGAGATCGACTATCAAATTCAGATGGTAAAGAAAGAGACGCTGGAATTGGCGAAGCGGCAAATAGGTGACGACAGATACCAAGAGCGAGTGCTTAAAGCTGACCAAACGGTCCAAACGCTGGAGAACAAATTGGAGGTCCAGATCAAAAAATTCTGCGCGATCTGCGCCGAAAATAATCTCTTGCGGTACGAGCTTCGGCATTTATTAAACGAAAGGACCGAGTTTAACAAAACGTGGGATAATCTTATCAGCAACTTGGTTATTGGGAAAAAATTTATGATGGATTTAATAGAGCAGGCCACCATCGCGTACGACCAGCGGGAAGAATGGGTCTCTAAACTGCAAATCCTACGAACCAGGGCAAGAAACGACCTACTCGCCCAAGTTCAAGAGATGAGAGTGTTGCAAAGAAAAAGAGACAACGACGTAAAGTTGCAGGACTTTTTTGCGACCAAGGGTCAAAAAAGGCTAATGGTGGATCTAGAAGCCGCGTACTTAAAAAAACGCGAGAGACAAAAGCGGGACGTTCAAAATCAACTGGCAGAGTATTTAAATAGTATGAATAAAATTAAAGAGTTTACCGAGCTAGAGAAAGTTCAAGTAAGCATTTCAAGCTCAATGACAATTTTGAAAATTTGATAATTTTACATTTAAGGAGATCGTCAAAACGTTCTTGCGCCAAGAGGAGGAAAATTTCTCCATGTTCAAGTACGTAACATTTCTTAATAAGGAAATGGAGGAATTGAGCGACAATTTATCTAAACTCCATTCAGAAATAGAGACACACAAGGAAATGCGCACAGAGTGGGAGGAACAACAGGAAAATTCCCTTAAGGAACTAAATGAAAAAGTCGAACAAGTGACCAAGCAAGCTGACGCTAAACAGGATGAACTGCAGAGCCTCGAACAAAAATTAAATGTCATGTTAAAAGGAGTCGAAACATTGTTTCAATTGTTCGGATGCAATAACGACCCGTTAATTCAGATGTTGGGTAAGTAAAGCAACAAGTAAAATGATTATATTGATGATTTTTCATAGAAACTTGCACAGGCTACTACTTACAAAACTTCTGTATGCCTCCTGCGTCGGTTATTGTTGAATCGAACTTGCTGACTTTTCGCCAATCATCCTGTTCGCTTCTTCAGAGCCTAACTGGAACTGATGCGTATTCTAGTCTGTACCTGCTTAAATATTGTTTGAGGGGGACGGAGCTAAGGGACGTGCATGAACATTGTCTCGGTGACATATTGGTGACAAATAAGGCCCTGAGTATAGGTTAATATTGTTTAGTTGCTTATAGACTTCTGTAGATTCTCAGACTTTTCGGTGGTAGAAGAATTTATTACATTCTTTGCTATAAACTAATGGTATCTCAAACGGAATTTTGTCTTTAACGGATAGAAGATGTTGAAAAATTTTTGGACAAGTGGTGAATCTGGTTTTTTTATTTACTTTTGCCATGTGGTCAGTGATGTTTTGAATGTAAGAAAAGAAAGTGGCAACTGTAGAGTTGCTTTCGGACTCGGTTTCTTAGGAAGGTTGTGGTGGAAGTGTTATTTTGTGATAAAATGCTTAATATCTCCAACAATGTGGAAATTATTACAGAAAAGAGCAGATAAGGTGTTTTAGTTCTGGATTCATTGACTCGGGTTGAGATAGTTTTACGGCTCTGTAAACAAGAGAGTTGATAACCTGATAGTGATGTGACAATGCATTAAGGTATCGATCTGTGTGCGTAGGTTTTCTGTAAACATAATGAACCAATGTTAGGTCTGGGTTTCTATTGATAAGAATATCTAAGAATAATATATTTTTATTAATTTCTAATTCAATGATAAAACGTATGTTTGGATGTATAGAGTTTAATGGGCTAAGAATATCTCGGAGGAATTCTTTCCCTTGAGGGCAAATAACAAAAATATTATCAACGTAGGATGGAAGGTGTCGAAGCTTTCCTTCTCAAAGGTTTGGATAAATATATCGTGATGACTGATGATAATGGAGAACGCATAGCTGTTTATTCAAAAATTTTACCGTTATAGATAATGTGGAAATTTATTAGAGAGAAAAGTAGATGTAAGCTCTGTGACTTCTGGGTTCAGTGAATCGGGCTGAGATAGTTTTACAGCGCTGTAAAAACTGTCATGTGACACTGCAGTAAGGCATGAGTCTGTGTGCGTAAGTTTTCTGTAAACAGAATGACCCAATGTCAAGTCTGATTTTATATTGATAATAATGTCTGAGAATGGGCGATTATTTTTGGTTTCTACTTCAATGGTAAAACGTATGTTAGGGTATCCAGAGTTTAAATATCTAAAAAAATCTAGTATGGATCTTGACCATAAGACCAAATAACAAAAGTGTCACCGACGAAGCGTTTCCATAATTATGGTTTTCGATGAAATGGATGGATACTCGACAGTTATAAGAAAATTACGTTAAATACAAGCATTTTTCCAGATTCTCGGTTTTTAATATATCTGAAATGATGTCGAGTGTTTCAGGGATAACGACTTTAGTAAAGAGGGATTCTACGTCGAAACTAACAAGACAAATACAGTCATCAGCAGTCGAATACAATCACAAAACCGGGCATCAAATGTTATTATATAAAACTAAAATTCTTTGATGTAATCAATTCCTCTACCAAGGAAAAATCCGAGAGTCTACAGAAATCTATAAGCAACCTAACAATCTTAACCGCGACTCAGGTTTCTACCTGGGAAATCAGTCATCCGAGACGATGCTTATGCTCCTCATTTAGCTCCGCTCCCATGAAAAATATATAAGCAGGTACAGAGTAGAATGCGAGCCAGTTTTAGCTAAGATCTGCAGCAAGTTTGTTTCAATAACAACCGATGCAGTAGGAATGTAGAAGTTTTTTAAATAGTATGATCAAACTGAATCGCAATAGGCCGTTTTCAGGGCGAAATGAAACTATTCACTACTACAACGTGCTGCTTTACCTTCAAATCCTTGAAAACAACATCCAAGAAGCTTTCGTAGATGTCTTTTATAAGGAACAAAACATTGTACCTAGCAAGCACCAGCTGACGATTATAAAACGAGATAGAAAACCTGAGGAAATGTATTCTGTAGACAGCATATGTGCAACGAACCCGTGTCCCTTGTGCCTGGAACACGAATTGGTTAGTGACGTTATAGATCTGGTGCAGGTCGCTTACACCAAAGAACAAATTAAGGAAAAACTGAAACAGAGATTGACAATTGAAGGCTCCGAGACAGCGTTGCACAACGTATCGGCCTGCCACCTGCCAAAATCTAGACAAATTATACAAAAGAGGTACCAATAAAGTATCGCCAACTCGATAACGAAAAAAAAAAACGACGCCGTAATCGCTGGAACTTTTATTTCGCCCGATATTTTTTCCTTATAAAAAATTCAGCGTAGTTCTTTCAAAACAAGATCGCATTAGCAAATTACCCTCATCTTGCCACTTTTTCCCTCTCCAGAATAAATTCGGAAACGTGATAAAAAATGCATTCGACATAATTGTGTGTCTGAACCTGAAGGACTTTATTAAATGTCGTGCTCTAAATTATGCAGTATCCTCCGGACGGTTCTCATGTTGGCAGAACTGACGCACATGACAGTCACATCCGAATCGCAAAGAGCGAAGAGGCTCGAGACGAATTAAAAAATGAGAAATTTCAAGATATGTTCCAAAATTCAGTAGCCTATAAAAGTTATTATTGAAAACCAATTAGGATATTTTAATTATTAACTTTCTTATTAATAGTAACACATACCTAAAGCTAATAGTTTTTTCAATAATTTCTTTCTTTAAAAAAAATTCTAGGGTTGCCAAGAAATTAGATATCTCCCTCATTTTTGAAATTAGCATTACTCGAAGATGACATTATGCTACAAGTTGTTTGTGAGGATCATCCTAAAATGAAAAATTTCGATTTTCTTAGTTGGCACACTATTTGTATTATTATTTTTTCTAAAAGATCTTACATAAACCTACAACTTTTATTAAGCATTTCATATTTCTATTTTTAATGCTTTGCGACTTATTACAACTTTTTGTCTAGTTTTCACACTTGCAAATAAGTTACGATAGCGCCATTATTTTTGAAGGCAGATACACAACTCATATTTGATATTAGCAATATTCGAAGGTGTCGTAAGAGATATATGCAACGGATTTTGAATTAAATGATACAGAGTGCTCAAAATAAAAGTATATATTTGGACCATTTTAAATTGAGAAATCTCTATTAAATCTTGATTTTCTCAAATAGCAATTATTTTTTCTGAAAGAGCTTACAAAAACGTACAACTTTCATTGTATGCCTACTGAATCTTAATACTCTGCGATTTATTTTATATTTTCAGCAATTTTGGTGAAAATAACGGCGAAATTATAAATTCGCAGAAAAAGTAAATAATATTAAATACCCATTACAGGGTTTAACTGAACTTGTCTTATTTTTAATTTCTATTATGACGTAGTAAAATATGCCTTTCTACTTGAATACACATGTTTAGTCTTTTTCGTATATTTTCTTTAGCATACACAGTGTTATTCTCCTGCACGCATCAAGAATCCTTTTTCCATGCATATAAACACGATGTTTAACATATCCCCAGAACAAGAAATGTACCCATCTATTTCTGTGGGTAAAGATTATTTAAAAACTCTCAAACTTCTCGATGGTAAAGCTCCGTCTTGCTGGAACTATATTTTTTGGATCGCAATGTTATAAACTTCTTGAAGAGGTTGAGGTAAATCATTCTGCAAAAAGTTATATTATAATATATTAAATCAATTTTTAATAAAATAACACTGCTGCGCAAGTGTTTTTGCAAACTGTGAAGGAACAAAATTGAAAATACTTACTAATCAATCAATCTTAATTAACAACTTTGCTTAAATTTACAAAAGCAAATTTGATTTCACTTCTTTGTAATTTTGAGGAATTGATAAAGTATAGGAAAATAATTTAAATACAAAACCTGAAAAGTAGTTTATTCTTTGGTGATTTTTTTTATTTGAATCTAAGTACGGTTTAGGCATTGAATTATGGCTCAAATAATTTAGTGCTCAAATCTGTTATAAGATCCACAAGCTCGGACTTATTCGAACAAATTAACATAACTCTTTTTCGGTTAGCTGCCTGATTGGTATTTGCAAAGGATCGCCTTGCAGACGGTCTTCGGAGTCTGATTCGGCGGGCGGCGGTGCCGTGATTCTGCCGCCCCTTTAGACCGCCGCCGCTCTATTGGCACACAATTAACAATCATCGGTATTCGACCCTCGAGCTGAAGCCGCCGAGCTTGATTGGGGGTGGCTCGGGGGTGGCTTTAACGAGCTTTTTACAAGGGTTCGGCAAACGGCCATAGTCTTCGTTAGAAGCGTGCTTTAGTCGGTTAGTTAGTTGTATCCATGTTCGACGGCATGGCGGGTTTTACATTTTAAAAAGCATAAACATTCAACAGAAATGTTTGGGACCTCATAAACTGAAAAACTATAAATTTTGTTCTCGTGGTGCAACGATATCAACGAATTTTGGATTCTATCTAACGTTTTAGAATCATTTCATTTATAAATTACACGAGAATTAAAGGAAACTGCCGAGAGAGAGCAGGTTAGCATATTTCAGTGGTATAACAACCAAATTTTAATCATATCCACTGAGAAAACCTGTTTTTTTTTTTCTACTCCGACTCGCTGCATTAATTACTAAGAGCTTAATATCTATTTAAATGGTACTACCTATTAAATTAAGTCAACTAATTTAAAAAAATACATTGAAGATGTGCCAAAACCAAAAATCGATGCACCACAATTTACCCGAAATTATTGCATGTCTCTAATACAACCCCAATTAATGTATGGTCTGCTTGTCTAGTTGAATGGAAATCAGGCCACCAAGATCATTCTTAGAAAAACAAAAAGATAATATTCTGACAAGTTTCATCGAGAGAGTGGAACTTTTGAGTATTGATCTTTTAAAACATATAATACATACAAGTACTTACAACGCTTGCAAATACTAATATACTGACTCTCCTATATGTACTTATTTCAATGACGATTTTCATTATTATTATTTTGTTTTTATTAAGCTCTTCTTATTTCAATTATTGCATAACTATGTAGGGATCTTGTGTGTTATTTTCTAATTTATTATTTATTTATTCTTTTCAATTTTCTCAGCTGTAAATTTTTGAAGGTTATTTCTATTGAGTAAAAGGTAAAAGTTATTCTACGTTTACATATACTGGGTAGTCTCAGTTAGGCCAACGAGGTACGGTATTATCTGTTCTACCGTATACAGGCTGCCTCCTTATTCAATGGGATTTTCCCAACTAACTAATAGAGATAAATGGGGAATGGAATTGGTCTCTGTATCTGTAAGTAAAGTAGGGTAGCCTACACCACAGCACCTAAGCTTCAGCAAGCCCATTGCGCTTCCTCCTGGACAGAACACTCATCTTTACAACAAGACTAGTGACCCAGGTATACGATGACAACTCCAAAACTCGTCTCATTGGTTAGCCTAGGGGATGGATATGGTTGGCCAAGAATAGCACCACACCTATACGAGAAGTTAGGACATTCACACAGAATATGTTCTACTGTGTCGTCCTCCTGCACATCCAGCACATAGGGACGCCACTCAAACTCAACTAGAATTGGTATCGTTGAATGACAATGACTGGTAAGAATACCAGCGGTCATGCTCGCCAAGAATTTTCTGTTTCATCCTATTGTTTTGGGAATTGTTTCCTGGATTTTTCATTTATCAGCTTTCTAATGACCTAGCCAGACAGACAAAGTCTATCAGTCCTATAAAGTTTTGTCACTCAGCCCTCCTAGCAAGGGAGTCGGTGTCATGATTACAATTTGAAAGCGCATGTACTTTAGTACAAACTAAGGATAACCACATTGTTGACTGACGTGTCACATTCCAATGCTAGCTATGACGGAAAACGTGGTGTATGAATTACCAAAAGTGCCTCTCTGGCTACCATAATGTCAAGTTTGAAGTATCTCCTCATCCTGATCCTTTTCTACTCTTCGAACCATCGGAGTAGCTGTTAATTACGCTTGCCTCATGTACGGGTGTAGGGATGGAATCCATTCTCGCCTCAAATTGTGGAAACTAGGTCGTCACCTTATTCCAAGCGCCATGTTGCATTACCTCACCTGAAAATGATATCAACGTCGCGGAGACATAAGATCTACCATCAAAACCACCCCTCCTGTATGTGTCTAGGTGTGAGACACAGCACTACCTCCATAGCATTGGTGGATTGGATAAAAGTTGTATATTTAGATGCATAACGCCCTAAAGCTCAAAATCAAATAGACAGAGGTAGACTAAGAAATGTTTTAAGTCAAATCAATTTTGTTTGATAAAAAACGACTGAACTAATTTTATTATTAGTAATTCGTTACTATTGGTGCTAGTTTCAGCAAAAAAAAAAAAACAATTAAAAATAGAAATATTTGTCAATTTTCAGTTGAAATCTCTCGAAGTGATTCGAGATGAGGAAATTATGCTTAATACTTAACGAAATAATTAATTCATAATATCCGTGAATCAGATCAGAACAAATCAGAATAACCGAAACAAAGACTTAACTAACCAAAAACAACAAACATGCCTTCTTTTATCTTGGCATCAGATATGGCTTTAAATTTCTGGCACAAATATTTGAAACACTGTACATTTTTGTCGACGGCTTTAACAAACTTTTTCATCAAGCCAAGTTTGATATGAAGAGGGAGGCAGTAAAACTTTTTTGGGGTCACCTAAGCAATATCTTAATACATTTTTGCTACTAGGTATAAGGCTTTGAGTGCAACGTCTATCTCTTTCTCGACTATCCCACTCACAAATAAAGCATGGAAATTTTGTAAAACCCTCTTGTTGTCCTAGGAGCATGCACTTTAAGGTCACCACAAAACATCGACTGATGTTCTTAGTAGGGTATTTTCTTCCAAAGAAATCCCAAATTTTCATAGGTCTCTTTAAATGTACCGAAGGTGCAACAGGTACCGAGGCCAGTTCCTTATCATTGCGCAATTAAACTACGCTTACTTGAGTCAATAAACAGGTGCCATTCTTTTTTATATACGGAATATTTCCTAATTTTCAAATTAGGAATATTGTGGCAATACACTAGCGATCCTTCCTGAGTAAAATATTGACATAACTCTTTTTCATGATCCCGGTAAAAGCTTGATGTGATGCCAGGTGTCAGTAAATGCTTGTCATGACGTGTGGGCTCTAACAATTCGAATGCATCCTTTGAAAGGTGCAAATCTCACATTAAATCATTTAATTCGCTCTGGTTAAAC